TCGGTACCTGCAATACACTCGTGGCATAACACGCTCGACACGTATAACTCCTGGTTACACACCTGGTGTCCGAGGCGACCCTTAAGGGTGACCCTCCCCAGCAGTCCCATCCCACTTCCACTTGCAGTTTGCAGCGCACGATCCGGGGCCTGTAGGCGGCCCACGTCAACCCCGACCACGCTGCCGTGTGTTGCACTCACGAGTGACGTTACTGCCCCCGTGTCCAGCAGAATCTGGGTACGCCACCTGTTCACCTGCCCTTCCACGAGCGACGTGGCCCCCATTATTCGTGCCACCAGCTCCCACAGCCAGTCACCCGCAGTCGCCGCATTCTGGGGTGTTGTTGTCGGCATCTGCGTGGGGGTCATTCGCTCACCATTATCACGTCAGTTTATTTGTGTTGGGGCCACGTCAATTGCACCCCTCCGTGGTCAACCTCTTTAGGGAGGCCTTGGTTTCGATTTAAAGCTTTCGTGACTGCAGGGATTCATCTTCTTGGTTCTTTCGGTAAAGTCACGTAGAAGGGAAGTAATAAAATAATACAAATAAAACATAATAAAATAATTCTCACGACGTTTCGGCCACAACGCAAGCAGCCGTCCTCAGGTGAAGAACATGTCTGTCGATAAGACAGAGTCTAAATGACACGTCTTAGGCTTGGAGTGTCTATTTAAGCTGTGAGGGAGGAGGAAGAGAGCCTTGACAAAAGAATTTGCATTTGAAGAGGAATTTAGCATATTTATGGGAAATGCAGGAATGCGAATAGTGCTAATTGTGAAATGCGTGGGAGGTGGGCGGGGGGTAATACAGTATATAATTTAATGTTGAGTTTGTCTATGGCAGCATATAGTACGGGTTAGACCTGTTTGATGTAAGGAAAAAAGTTTAGCTGGAAGCATATTATATTTTTTGCGACATAGAATTGTAATGTATTACTTACTGTTAGTAGCTCAGCTTATTAGAGAGTATATTTAGTATACTGATGATACTATGAAGTTTATACTTTAGTTTTTTACGTGGTTGTTTGGTTGCTGCAGCTGCATACTATTCACATTCCTTTCCTTTGTTGGTGCTGCTCCTGCCCCCTCCCTTTGATGCTGTTAATCCTGCATAATGCATGGGCATAATATGACTTTGAAAACCCCCCGCCCACCTCCCACGCATTTCACAATTAGCACTTCGCATTCCTGAATTTCCCATAAATATGCTAAATTCCTCTTCAAATGCAAATTCTTTTGTCAAGGCTCTCTTCCTCCTCCTTCACAGCTTAAATAGACACTCCAAGCCTAAGACGTGTCATTTAGACTCTGTCTTATCGACAGACATGTTCTTCACCTGAGGACGGCTGCTTGCGTTGTGGCCGAAACGTCGTGAGAATTATTTTATTATGTTTTATTTTTATTATTTTATTACTTCCCTTCTACGTGACTTTACCGAAAGAACCAAGAAGAGGAGGCCTTGGTGTTTAACCCTGGTGCTTCTCTCGCACGGGCGATCTGGTGACAGTCTCTCACGAGATGCCCCCATTGGTCGCATAGATAGCACGCACGGGGAAGGGTGGTGGCTCCATAAGACGCCCCTTGCCCACTCCCCCTTACCATCCCAGTGCGCATTTGTTCGAGTTCTGCCTCTTATTGAGATACTCGCCTGGTTAGCCCCCCGACCATGGAGCGTAGCCCTCCCACCTCGGACTGGACTATCTCCGCTGTGGACTGCAGCTTGGTCACATTCAGGTGTACTTGGGTTACCTTCCCGCATACTTGGGTTACCTCCTCGCGTACTTGGGTCTCCTGGCCTGTGATATCTCCTATGCTGGTCTGTATCCCTGCCACCCATCCTGGGGTTGTCTCACGGGATCCCGGAGGCTCCCTCGTCCCCCCCCCTCACCTCCTCCTCTGGAAGAAGACTTGCAATGGTGCTATCCCGTTCCAGCCGTCGGAATTCCGCACGCTCGCGAGCAAATCTCTCACACGCACACGTGGGCGTGCTCGGCAACGGTGTTAGATGGGGGATATGGGCAGTTCGCATCTGGCTGCCACCCCGTTGTGCTTGTCAGATACTGCTGAACTTTCTCGGTGGCGAGGTCATCGATGATCTCGGCAGTGTATCCCGGGCGTGCGCTCTGTGTTCGCAAGCGTGATTTATTTTCGTGTGCGCTCACGGAGATCTGAAGTGAGAAGTTCACATCGTGGTTATTGTTGTCGTGGTGGTAGTTGTTGTTTACCCAGGTAGAGCCTCGCTCCTTCTCTGTCTTGTAGGGAGGCCGCTTTGGATTGCACCACTATTCGATTTCACATTAACATGCTAATTTATTACATTAACATCACTAGCCCCCGGCCACTTCTTTATGACCCTTGGGCTACACCCATTTCAAACTTTTACAACAGTCTGCCTCAGCAGCAGACCATGCATTTTCTATCAGAGTGTTTTTGTTTGCATTCTGACCACAAGTATTGTGGTTAATGCACACATGATTCCTTGTAAAAGGTTTCAGTTTGGTGTTTTAACATCTTAACACCTGTTTCGTTGCCAGAAAAATGGGGAAAACCTATTCTCATATTTTGGTACTGGCAAAGGTCCCATGATAAAATATTGCAGTATATTAGAGGTGAGCCGTGCGTGTGTAGAAAGGACAGTAAGGAGCCGGAAGTTAATGAATTTTGTGGCAAAAATGCAGGCCTGATAATATGTAAGGATAATGTGGTAAATGAGAAAAATATAGCAGCAGCGGGGTGTTGGAGTATACAGGTGTTACAGGTGTTGAAGGTGAACAGGTAAGCTAAAAATTGTGTGAAAAACATAATAACTTTCCCTTGAGTACGCATGGAATTTTTGATGTGTGTATGTTTCAAATTGTTGGCGCAATTTGGTTCTCAAAAAAACACACAGAGTGCTTCATTTATATACATTTATACTCATCTTGGAATGTTTTGTATACGGTTTCTCCACATTTATTTCAGTAATTTAGTTTATTGGGAATACAGTACAGTACTTATTTAAATTGTGGTGTATATTTTAGTTGCCGTTAACCTCACCCCATTATTTAGGTAAGGCTTTAGTATTGGACATCGGCATTTTAGCTTTCGCACGGCACTTTTCAAGAATGTAACCTCCGCGCTATTCAAGGGGCTGCTGTATTTTCTGTCCATCAGCTATAGCACAGGAGTACGGATTTCAGCAGAAACTAGATTTCTGCTTTCTTGGTGTAATTACGGCCTATAATACCATAAAGAGGCTTGGGGTTTTGGATTGTTTTTTGTTTTCGATATCTCCGCCTCTGCTCACATTCGTTGAGGATTTTTATGATTTTTGGATGGCCCATCTAAAGCTGCGTGACCAGGAGTCGGATCCCTTTCCTGTTCAATTTGGCTTGTGGCTGAAATTCCCTCTGGCCCCATGCATTACATTACGTAGCATTTTCAAATAATTGTGTTTTGAGAAGCTCGCAATGGCCTTATAAAAAATGCATTTCATACAGTAACAATGATACGCTAATCGATGCCTGGTTATAGTCAAAGGATTGTCCCCTGCTGGTCAACCATGTTACGCATGTTGATGATCTGGTCATGGCTACTCAATGATATTGAGTTGGAGAATCGTGTTCTGTACCTGGAGAATTCCATGACAAAATGGGGCCTTGCATATGTTCTACAAAAGATCACCTCCCTGGGAAAATCTTGACTTAAAGCTTTCGTAACTGCAGGAATTCATATTCTTTGGGTCTTTCGGTTAAGTGACGTGACTTTACCGAAAGACCCAAAGAACACCTCCCTGGGAATTTAATGTCATTCAACACTGCACCTGCTCAGCTCTCCATGAATAATCAGGTCGTTCTACACGTGGTGGAGGAGCTCCTATAACTGGTTAATGTGTTCACGACCAGCTCTGGTTTGGCATCTAAAGTCTCACTTCAAATTAGTCTAGCAGCATTCTTTCATTAGGCTCTGGAACACTATGTGGAAGCTGCCTGGACTTTTTTACATACAAAGCTGTGAGTGTCCATTGCAAAGGTCTAGTCCATTGCAAAGGTCTCGTCAAAAAAACAGGCAATAGTCTACATTATAGACTGCCAATACACTCACCGAGGTTAAGAACCAGTCTACAGTCTACATTATAGACTGCCAGTATGCTCACCGAGGTTAAGAACCAGGCTACAGTCTACATTAGTCGTTTTTTTTTCTTTTATTCACTTTATTTGTATTATTATTTTCTATCTACGTGACTTTACCGAAATAACCAAAGAATATTAATTCCTGCAGTCACGAAAGTTTTAAGTCAAAATGTAACCACCTTTTTACCATGCAAGTGTATGAACATGTAAAGTTTGTATTTGCTGTCAAGTATATTGACTCGATTGAACATCGAGGTTAAATCATAATAATAGTTTATTTTAGTTTTGCTTTGGAAATTTTCATAAGAATGGAAACAGTCAGGAAATTAACACAGTACATATGCAGCTGAAGTTAAATCTGTTCATCCTCGCATTCAAGCTCATCTGAGCCTGGCTTCACACCTCTAAGTCGCAAATGAACATTAATTTATACATTTCTGCATAATACAAATAGTATTATTTTCAACAGCCTTTGCTATGTTAACAAATTTTTCTTAAATATTCCTGTCGTAGCTAGACAACCGAAATTGTGTGCTTGGAGTTTTTGGTAAACATTAATTTTGAAGACACGAGGGTGTCCAGGCATATTAATGACCATTTGCCCTCGCATTGTGTGCCTTAACAGCCCGTGTGATGAATTGGGGAATCTCTTTCACTATATCATGAAAATATGAATATGTATAGATGTGTAAGTCATGTGTGACTGTGTATATATGCATTCCTCTGTGCCTCAATACTCACATAGATGGTGCGGACATGCTTTTCTGTTTGCAGCTGACGCTCTGCAGAATTGGCCTGATGGAGCAAAGGCACTCAGCGCAGCTCAGTACAAGAAGGAAACAATGCGACCAGCATGCAAACAGCACGGATTGTACTGGAAAATTGACACAGCACCAGAGAACACACACAGGAGAGAAACCTTTTAAGTGCACTCTGTGTGGGAAGGCGTTTGCAAAGTCATCAAATCTTAAGACCCACCAGAGAACACACACAGGAAAGAAACCTTTCAAGTGCACTGTGTGTGAGAAGGCGTTTGCACAGTCATCACATCTTCAAAGACACCAGAGAACACACACAGGAGAGAAACCCTTCAAGTGCACTGTGTGTGAGAAGGCATTTTCATGGTCGTCATATCTTCAGACCCACCAAAGAACACACACAGGAGAGAAACCTTTTAAGTTCAGTGTGTGTGGGAAGGCGTTTGCAAAGTCATCAACTCTTCAGACCCACCAGAGAACACACACAGGAGATAACCCCTTCAAGTGCAGTGTGTGTGGAAAGGCATTTTTTGATTCATCTACTCTTAAACAACACCAGAGAACACACACAGGAGAGAAACCTTTTAAGTGCAGTGTGTGTGGGAAGGCGTTTGCAAAGTCATCAATTCTTAAATCACACCAGAGAACACACACAGGAGAGAAACCTTTCAAGTGCACTGTGTGTGAGAAGGCGTTTGCACAGGCGTCCATTCTTAAATCACACCAGAGAACACACACAGGAGATAAACCTTTTAAGTGCACTCTGTGTGGGAAGGCATTTGCAAAGTCATCAAATCTTAAGACCCACCAGAGAACACACACAGGAGAGAAACCTTTTAAGTGCAGTGTGTGTAAAAAGGTGTTTGCACAGTCATCCATTCTTAAATCACACCAGAGAACACACACAGGAGAGAAACCTTTTAAGTGCACTCTGTGTGGGAAGGCGTTTGCAATGTCATCAAATCTTAAGATCCACCAGAAAACACACACAGGAGAGAAACCTTTTAAGTGCACTCTGTGTGGGAAGGCGTTTGCAAAGTCATCAAATCTTCAAACCCACCAGAGAACACACACAGGAGATAAGCCCTTCAAGTGCAATGTGTGTGGGAAAGCATTTTTTGATTCATCTACTTTTAAACAACACCAGAGAACACACACAGGAAAGAAACCTTTCAAGTGCACTGTGTGTGAGAAGGCGTTTGCACGGTCACCAGATCTTCAAAGACACCAGAGAACACACACAGGAAAGAAACCTTTCAAGTGCACTGTGTGTGAGAAGGCGTTTGCACAGTCATCACATCTTCAAAGACACCAGAGAACACACACAGGAGAGAAACCCTTCAAGTGCACTGTGTGTGAGAAGGCATTTTCATGGTCGTCATATCTTCAGACCCACCAAAGAACACACACAGGAGAGAAACCTTTTAAGTGCAGTGTGTGTGGGAAGGCGTTTGCAAAGTCATCAATTCTTAAATCACACCAGAGAACACACACAGGAGAGAAACCTTTCAAGTGCACTGTGTGTGAGAAGGCGTTTGCATGGTCGTTTATTCTTAAATCACACCAGAGAACACACACAGGAGAGAAACCCTTCAAGTGCACTGTGTGTGAGAAGGCATTTTCATTGTCATCATATCTTCAGACCCACCAGAGAACACACACAGGAGATAAACCCTTCAAGTGCAGTGTGTGTGGGAAGACATTTTTAGATTCATCTGCTCTTAAACAACACCAGAGAACACACACAGGAGAGAAACATTTTAAGTGCATTCTGTGTGGGAAGGCGTATGCAAATTCATCAAATCTTCAGTCCCACCAGAGAATACACACAGGAGATAAACCCTTCAAGTGCAGTGTGTGTGAGAAGGCATTTTCAGATTCATCTACTCTTAGAAGACATCAGACAACACACACAGGAGAGAAACTCTTCAATTGCAGTGTTTGTGGGAAAGCGTTTGCACATTCATCAAATCTTAAAAAAACACCAGAGATCACACACGCATCAGAAAATCCACAAGAAGTGTAATCTGAAATCAGCTTGTGAAAGTCAAAGTGCTGCAATGACCCCATTGTTCATGAAACAAGAACCAGTAGACAATTCCAGCCTGGACACTTTGAAAGGTATCAAGGTGAAATATGAAGAGGCGAAAGTGAAATGTGAAGAAGTAACATTGAAGAGCGTAGAAGTGAAGGTTAAATTTGAAGATTCAACTCCAAAATCGGACCTTCACATAGATGGAGGCAGTGTGAAGCAGGAACTAAATTCTGACTGTGAGGCAGTGCGAGGCAACTCCCAGGAGTTTGTGGATGTGGAGGTGTGGGTGGACTTCTTAGACAATACAAAGTCAAATGGAGACCAGGTAGATGTGCAAGCTTGAGACAATTAAGCTCCAATGGATGCACCTTTGTCACAGGCCTTTCTAATGAATATAATGTGAAGTTGAACACTCAATTTCTAGGTTCAAACTGCAGTGTAAGAGTGGCCAGTATTTGTGGATCTGTGGGTTGGGTCGTTCTCGAATCCGGGAGCGACTCATGTGTTTTCTAACATATCTCATCTTAGACACTCGAAGGGTGCCCATAATGGGCATCTGCCCCTGTGTGCCACAAGGTGACCGTTCACTGGCTTGCATGTGGATATGAGTTTGTAAGTCGGGGGCGATGATTGATATACCAGTCGGATTTGAACCTTGAACCTCTGCAACAAATAGAGAATGTACTACTACTTGGCTTCCCTCTATGAGAGTGCTGCACATATAGGCCTCATCTCGTCAGATCAACTTGTAAATACGTTGCAACGTGACGCAGTACATTTCAGTATAGTAATAAAATGTTGCCAATGTGCCCTTTGATTATTTTGAATCGTAATTGAAAGAATACCCGTCTGATTTTGTACGTACATACAACATTTTGTGTATTAATGTCAAACATGGAATATGTGCTGTCAGGACAAAGTATCTGTTTTGGTGGTAACCTGTACAAAAACTCAAGTGAGAGCTGTTATTTTTGTGATACGAGTCAAAGGGTATTTTTGTGAATCAGGACGCATCTGACTGGGGCAACTCATTGTCTTTGAAATCGGGAGCATAGTCGGATCATTCATCAGTTAAGGTATGCCACTTATAAGTTACGTATAGGAGATACATTCTCAACAACACTAATTATCATTTTGTACTACGTATATAAATTTTGTCGAACTGAGACTTGAAATGGACCTTGCTGATGAACATCAGTTGAAGCAAAGCCCGACTGTTGTTGAGACATTGTACACCAAAACCAGTCCACAGGTGGCTTGTACTGAACACATGCATTCCTAGAAGGCCATGGTATTTATAGTTTGTGTAAGACATTCCTTTGTTTCGTGTAGAGAACGTTGAATGAAAGATGTCTGCCGATCTGTTTTTTTCGCAAGGAGGTACTTTAAAGAGCACATTTGATGGCATCGTGGATTTTTGTTACTGATTTGTATTCTAGCCTAGGTTTTATTAAATTTTTACTTTCATTTAAATAAAACTTTATATATGTGTCCATTGATATCCCACCTTGTTTTTCACATATTTAAATATGTAGAAGCTCCCTCTGAAGACGTCACCCTCAAATTAACGAGTGGGTTACGTCAGGGCCTCCCCCTCTCTCTGGCTTGTGATGTCACCAAGAGCAGAACTCGCCTCCACGGAATCTAACGACTGCACTGTCTTGGAATGCATTTGTAACGGGTTCCGGAGACACTTGTAGATGTAACTTCTTTATTACAATACAACACTCCAACAGTCCTGATACTCTGTTACAGCCTAGGTACACAGCCTAGCTACACAGCCTAGATACACTACTCTGGCTACGCTCTGGACTCGCCCTCACAAGGTCGTAGCGTCGAGAGTTCCAGAGTCCCAGCGCTGGCTCTCACAGCATCCCAGGGTCTTCAGATGGCTGGTCGTGGGTCTTGGGTCTTGAGTTACAACTGGGCCCCGATCGTCCAGGGAGCTCTCCTTTTATGCCTGGTCCGACGAGGGGTGGGGCCGTGTGCGCCACCAGACATCCCACAGAGCACACACAGCCCGCCCCCCCCCGTTGGCGGCGCCAAAAAGGCTTAAGCGCCTGGGAACCCAACGCCTGGCGCCCAAAGGCTTAAAAGCGTCTGGACCCCCTGGGAACACCCGGATGTGTTTGTGTTGGAGCCGGCGGGATGGCGCGGTCGCTGCGCCGCCTCTCTCCCTCCTGCCTCCGCCTGTGAGCGACGCATCTCGCCCAGGATGGAGACGGTGGCGTGGAGCAGCTCGGTGAGCGAAGCAGCGTTTCCTCCATTGTTGCTGCCCGACGCTGGAGGAGGAATCGGCAGGTGTGGGGACGCCTGCTCAGCCGGCGGTGCGGCGTCGTTGTCGGCCCGAGTTGGCTGCCCCGTCGCTGCTTGCTCCTCAACATCGCCGTCAGGACTGAAGGTACGTGGCTTACTTCTTGTCTCCATTGCCACCTCTGACGCCAAATGTAACGGGTTCCGGAGACACTTGTAGATGTAACTTCTTTATACAATACAACACTCCAACAGTCCTGATACTCTGTTACAGCCTAGGTACACAGCCTAGCTACGCAGCCTAGATACTCTACTCTGGCTACGCTCTGGACTCGCCCTCACAAGGTCGTAGCGTCGGGAGTTCCAGAGTCCCAGCGCTGGCTCTCACAGCATCCCAGGGTCTTCAAGATGGCTGGTCGTGGGTCTTGGGTCTGAGTTACAACTGGGCCCGATCGTCCAGGGAGCTCTCCTTTTATTGCCTGGTCCGACGAGGGGTGGGGCCGTGTGCGCCACCA